ACACACACACACTCCCTTGGGTTGGGCTCAGAAAAGAACATTCTCTCATTCTAGCAGCAGTTCAAAGGCAGAGTGGGGACACTGCTGTTCCTGTGGCTTTTAACAAGCTGCAGGCCTGGATCATCACACACTCTATATTCACAATGCATCGTTCTAACACACTGACCAATAAGTCTCACACACACACACACACACACACACTTACACACTGGCCTGCAAGCAAAGCTGGCACTTGTGTAGTTTCATCAGGGGGTCAGCTTTCTGTAGTCAGATATAACGTGCACAGCACCTTCATGGAAAAAACGTATTAGGCTAAGAATGAGTCAAACTCAGCTGTGGCTGCAAATTAATAAAAATACATCAAGTTGTATAAAAACTACAGTGGTGTACAATAAAACACCAGCACTAACTGAGTATTTGAATGGTTTCAGTCTCTGCAGACGAGTGTGCAAATACTTGTGTTGGCGCCCTTCCCAAAGCCCTTTCAAATTATTTTCTACCCACTTCGGTGTAACTTCAGGACAGAATATGGCGCTGAAGTTATGCCAGTCAGGAAAGTAGCAGCAGAGCAGTAACAGTGGGTATACTGTACGGTATGTCAGGTAAAGTCTTTGTGAAGGAACACCTCAGACTGGCACAGATGACAACATGTACACCACTCAGGCCTTACAGGTCAGCAAACAACGAAACTATGAACTGGAAGGGACAAAGATGGAAAATGGAAAGAAAAGTTAGACCAATCATTACACACGCAGAATCCTTTTTTTGGAACTATTACTAATAATAGTCAGCACAGGATATATTTTCATTGTTATGCCAGTGATTGCTCAGTTATATTTATCCATGAAACCTGATAAATCTCATCAATTACTTATATTAGCATGTCTTCCAGACATAAAAGCCTGGATGACTTCTATTTTTCTGCTTTTAAATCCAGACAAGACAGACGTTGTGGTTTTTGGTTTTGARCAACTTGGGAACAAACTTTGCAACCTTTCTTGGCTGGACTGCTGCAAATTATTCCTCATCTGAATGGCCATAAAAAAAAAACACTTAAAAGTCTTCAGCTGATCCAAACTGCTGCTGCCAGACTTCTGACAGGAGAAAGAAGGAGAGATCATATTTCTACAGTTTTAGCTTCTTTCCTTTGGCTCCTTGTAAAATTCAGAACATAATTTATCAAGCTCTCAACAACCAAGCTCCATCTTATATTCAAGATCTTATTGTCCCATATTTTCCAATCAGAGCACTTCTCTCTCAGACTGGAGTTTCTAGTTCTAATTTTGATAAACCCAACAGTTAGTTATGCAGACTAATGACCTGTGCAAAATCCATTCTCACTGACGTAGTTGCGTGACACAAATTGTCATTTTGTTCTCAGCTTTGTGTCACTCACTCCTTCTTAGCACAAGGCCTGGGCCAAACGTTTCACCCCCCACGGTATACAGAATTATTGTGTGTTTGCTTAGAGGTTCATGGGCATGTTTGTTTATGCTGACAAGTGCTCAGACAGCAATGGAAGCATATTGCTTTGACTACTCTGCTTCCAGAAGTCAWCTGTACCTGCAAGCAGACACTTAAGTCAAATAGCCAAAGACTCCTGGATGCAATAGCATATGCATTATGTAAGGAGGAATCTGCTTGTCGAAATGTGCGTTGCTCTCTTCATGATAGATTTGCGGCTAAACGGTGGATATCAGAGAGGAGACGAGGGAAGAACCCCGTGCTGTGACGTGTACAGCAGTGGGAGGGGTTTCCCAGGAGCTCTGCGCCATGTGTCTCATTGAACGATGGAAGGTGTGTGGTAAAATGATTCCACCACAGGACCACGCCTCAACTGGTCAGCCGGCGATCGACCATGCTGGGCCCTTTCAGCTGCTGGGCTGAGCACATTTCCTCCTTCTGCTGTCTTTACTCTCCATGTTTGAGTTTTTCTGTGCTTGTCTCCATGTAGAAAGTACACCTGTACTAGGGCTGCCAGAAACGATTATTTTTATAATCGATTAATCACCAATTATTTTTTCGATTCGTCGACTAATCAGATCATACGTTAATTGAATATAAAACATACAGCTTATCACGTCAGAATGCAGCTGCTATTATATAACCATTGTTAGATTTTAGCTATATGCTAACTAAAAATAATAGCTGTGGAAGGCAAGTTCTGCTCTGCAGATATTGCACAGGTTTCTCTTTCATTTTCTTAAAATGATCCCACACTTTTGAGCTCTGTTGTCAGGTAGCCATGATACCAGAGCCTGTCTGTATAATGTCTTGTGACGTCCACGGCCTACCCCAGTTACCACTACTGTTCATGTGTGTCAAGGACAGAAAGGCAGATGTGGCAGTGGAAGGTGTCAAAGCAGTTTGGAGAGAAAAACAAAGTAAAGAACAAAAAAAAAAAGAAAACGATTAATCGATTATTAAATTAGTCATCGATTATTTTAATAATCGATTAGTCGTCGATTAATCGTGGCAGCCCTAATGGACCAATCCTTCTGTGTTTGTCCGTGTCTCTTTCCTGTCCTCTGAAACCACTGACTCCGCGTCTGCTAGTTTTCCTCCTGTCCTTTCTACTGTCAGATAAGAGACTGTGACGAAATTACATTTGACGCAATCTGCAGGCTTATACGGACAATTTTTTATTAACTGATATTCCATAACGTTCTGTACGACTGCATTTTATTATAACTGGGATGAATTAATTAGACCTCAATTTGGATTTGTATTGTACGCGAGGGGACATGGGGGATTTTTTTTCTTTTGCGTTCCCACGCAATACCTTTGCGTTCCCTCGCAATACTTTTGCGTTACCTCACAATATTGTTTTGCGTTCCCACGCAAAAGTTTGATTTGTTTATGAACTGAATTAAATCAGACTTTTATTTTGAAATTTCCGGTTACCAAAACTGGATGTGTCGCCACAAGTTCGTGAAATTGACACTGATTTTGTGTGGCTGCACTGTGTTAAAATATCGGCATATGACATACTTCCATGCGTGGCTGTGTGACATATTCATTCTGAAGCTGAATTAAAGCAGTAGGCTAACTCGCTAATGGTAAACATGTGAGTTTATTAATAAACCGGCAGGCACACAGTGTTTAACAACTTTTGCGAGGGAACACAAAAAGAAAAAAAAATCTCCCATGTCCCCTCGTRGTAGTAGTATTGAACTAAATTTGGATTTTTTTATGATTGTATAGGTACAACTTCTGTGGTGCTATATAAGTAAACTGAATTGAATTCAGCTGAAAAATTCAGAGGATGAATTAGCATAAATGGCACCTTTTAAACATGAAGTATAAATCTTACCGCTTTGACCGAACCAATCATCTTTTTCGTCTGACATTTTAATTTTTTTAAGAGATCACTAAATTCCTGCCGACATCTCAGAAACCTTAAGAGTTCATCTACCTTAAATACCTCCTGCTTTCACTCCCATCAGTCTGACAGCTCACTGGGATTTACTGGCTCAAATCTTGGTGCTTATGCGTATGAATGTATGTGTGTGTGTGTGTTCCTATAAAAGCTGAGAAGGCAGTAAATGTATGTCAAGTCAAGTGTGAGCGTACCAGCAGCTTTCTTAGTACCATTAACTTTTCACTTCCAGTAAAGGCTTTAAATGTAACTATGAGTGAGAGTATGTTTCCATCTAGCAGAATAATCTTCCTGACTTTTCTGCACATAAGCAGACACACAGTCATTCCGTCGGTACGCTGCCAAAACCTCCCGACTCTGTGCCTGCATCTGTTTGTCGTTACACACACACATACACAGTCACACACAATCCACTCCATGTCACACATTAAATGCACTCTGGCACACACGAGTTCATGGGCCAAACTGCATCCAGTCAATAAAAAGTGTGTGCCTATCTGAGCTCAAATTAAAAGATGAAAAGATTTAAGCAGAAATTATTGTGCTRTATACAACCAAATCCATTTTAGCAGCCACTAAAAAACCCCCAGAGAGGCTTTTGATGTCTCAGGGTTTGGCTCTTCCAGCAGCAGGTCTATTGTGACGGACTGGTTCAGCCTTTTGAAGTCTGTAGACAGTAAACGTCTGGGAAAGTGGCTTCGATCCCTGCGCCGTCTCCACCCCTGTCTGAAGCTAACGAGTAGCTTTCCCAAAAAGTCCCATTATAAAGTTAAAGAAGGAGCACTCAGTTCAAACCACCCATCCAGAAAGTCTTGGACCTTATTTTTTATTCTTGCTGTTTCATCATTTTGTGAGGAAATAGGAATTTATTTAAATGTACCAGTCTTCCATTCAAGTTTTTTAAAGCGTCCCTTAATTGTTTATAAACTAAAGTATCTATCATTCCATCCATCCATCCATCCATCCATCCATCCATCCATCTCCTTTACTCACTTTTCCTTTATGAATGGACCTGGTGAGAGTATCTCCAGAAGTCAATGAAGTGGTGGGAGACACCCTGGACAGAAAAAAAATGTAATAAGTATAAATATAAATACATAACATAAATATAAATGTAGAGTAAAATATATAAGCTTACAATAAGTAGGTTTAAGATCAGTCTCGTTAGTGCAAGAAGATACGACACTAAATGCCTATCGTTTAGCAGCACAACTACGATACTTAAATTTCGTTAATGTAGTAAAGCAGCATATTTAATAATGGATACAATTCATTTTTTTATTATGTTTTACAAATTTTGTTTCTTTTGTGCTTTTTTAAGCTCTATAAGTAATAGATTTCATCCATCCATAAACGGTGATGGTGATAGATAGCAACAACATTCTTTTTGAATGATGTTCACTGACACGTGTGTCTTTTGGCAAGCACAGACTAAATACCCTTATATTTAAGACCAATTTCATAATAAAACTCCATGAACCTCAAACACGTGTGTAGTGTCTCTTCCATTGTTGCTGTTGTTTGGTTCTGCAAGTATTGCGAGGTAACACTAAAGTTTTGCGTGGGGATGCAAAAAGTATTGCGGGTAACGCAAAAAAAAAAAACAGTAGCTGCGTCTCCATTGCAAATGTGCGCAAAACTTTGTCAATATTCTGTTAATGTCGAAAAACACAGTTTTGCAAGTGCGGTGTTTCCATTAAGTAGGAAATGCTATTAAAGTCACGCGTGAATATGTTTGTTCTCATGATAAGTCATTACAAACATGGCGGCAATGGATGTAAACACATAGCATATTGCTACCACGACACTAGCGCTCATCAACAGAGGAGACATCAGCATCTTATCGATGCCTTCGAGTGACAAGACCCTTATACTTGGGAGCGGCTACGAATGCTGCATTTTTGGGAAATTGCAGTCGGTGAGTTTACTACTTTCTTTTACAACTTCGTTGATTTCACTACTTCTACTTCCTGTTGTCTTCTTCATCATCGTCTTTTTAGCCAGTAGAAACATCCGGTTGTTGATCACGTGACTCCCGTGATACGAAAAAAGTGTTTCCATTGCAGTTTTGCGAAACACACCAATTTCGCAAAAGTTTTTTTTTCGAAATTGACGTGTTTCCATCCATCCATCCATCCATCCATTTTCTGTACACGCTTCTTCCTTTTCAGGGTCGCGTGGGTCACTGGTGCCCATTTCCAGCAGTCACAGTGCGAGGGGCAGGGTACACCCTGGACAGGTYKCMAGTCCATCACAGGGCCACACATAGAGACAAACGAGACAAACAAGCATTCACTCTCTCACTCACACCTAGGGACAATTTAGAGTTATCAATTAACCTAACAGGTGTTTCCATTGAGCAAATTTATTTTCGAAATTCTAATTTGCACATTTTCATGGTCAATGGAAACACAGCAAATGTCACTTTGCCTAATCACCTAATTGGGAAAGTAGAAGTACTTTTACACACATTCTAAGAAAGTGTTGACTTTATTTAACCAAACTGGTTTCACTAAAACAAGTTGAGTAAATTGCTTTACATTTACTCACCTTAGTTTTGTGGAACCAGTTAACATAATAGGGTTAAGTGAATCCAAAACTTCATTTTTTAGAGTGGATACACAAGTCTTTCATGAGTTCCACTCATATTTAAATTTGTTACAGCTAACTAGGGATTAAAGTTTAAAGCAAAGATGTAAAAAAAGTATAATTTTTGTGTTTTGAATGTAACAAAAAAAAGTAAAAGTTAGGATTAGGAAAAAGACTTGGTCAAATTACAAATCTTCAAATAAATCATTTAAGTACTGTCTCAAAGTAAATATACTTAATTACTATACATCTATGCTCTGGTGTCTTTATGAAGCAGTGATTTAAAATTCACAACTTTTTTTTTAGATTTACCAGACACATTAGGTGTATTTGAATAAAGTATCAGTATCACCGATATCAGCATGAGTTTTACTCATCAGAATTGGAAAGGACATTGGTGGTGAACATAACTACTGTACAAAATATTAAATAAATAATGTAAAAAAAAATGTTTAAGTCCATATTAACCATGTTAACTCCTCATCTTCTGTCAGTGACACACTGAATGTCTGGAGGTAGAGAAGATATTCTGGCATAAAAGAGTGAAATTATTATTAATATCATAACAAACACCTTTAAGAATTGTGACAGAAAAACATGCATGGCGAAAGCTAAAACAGAAATATATAAAGGTGGAATTTACAACATCTAACTTTTAAAATACCTCATAAAATGACAAATTTGCAATCAATTCTGAACCTTTTCCATCAGGACAAAAGAGAAACTTTTAGATTCCCCAAAAATATGACTAAAAACAAAGACAGGAGACTCTGAAGATGATCTACTACAGTGAGAAAACAGTCTGAGCAGGTTTTAGAGTGATCAACATGCTGTAAGCATATGTTGTTTTCAAAGGAGGAGGAAAAGAAGCACATCCTGAAGGCAGCGCTGTCATCCTGACGTATACAGCCTATACAGTGGTTTGCAAAAGTATTCATACCCCTTGAACTTTTCCATATTTTGTCACATTACAACCACAAA